GGCACAACAGAAGAAACACTACCTGGTTCTGCACCTCCTCACAGTCACTCCCACACTTGTGCCTGTTGTTGTGGCCACTGGGTCAATCCATCTTCTTGAGAACCTTCCTCTTATTCACTGCCCCTCTACTGTACCAAAGTGATGTGCTTTCTCCAGGGACCGGCCTCTCCTGATAACATGTCCAATGTATGGAAGATCCTTGGTTCTGAGGAACATTCTAGTCGTACTTAACAGACTGTGATACTTTCAGTATTTTTTAGCAAGTGAAGACTCAGAATACAGTCCACCTTAACCCTGTAACAGAGAACTCCCTCTAAAATGGTATTATAACCACAGACATAGATATTAGAATTTATAATCTATTACAAAGGGGATAACGGCTACAGAGGCTATATTAAGTAATTGACTACATTTTACATTCAGATAGTAAGTTTACATTTTATCTAAAGTACAGCCACTACCATCAAGTTGATTCCAACTCATTGTGACCCTATAGGATAGAGTAGAATTGTCCCATGGGATTTCTGAGACCTTACTAATCTTGACAGAAATACCATCACATCTTTCTCCTACAGAGTGGTTGGTGGGACCTCTTGATTGGCAACTCAGGTCTTGACCCACTGTGCAATTAAGACTCCTTAATGCCTACTAAATATTGTTTCAATAAAACAGGATCACTGCCATTGGGAGCTTAAACATAATTAAAATAGGACTACTGTTTAATAACATCAGTGAAAGAAGTAAGCACTTATGATCAGAGCTCATACTTGGCATTAAACGTTAAGGGATCCAGAAAGGCCTTTCGCCTGCTTGATACCCGCTCTCATGAAGAGATCACTGAAGATGTGGGTAGTTTTGCTAGGCATAGTGAAGAAACTAGATAGTTCCCTGCTATCAGAAGAATAGCATTTAAAAAAAAAAAAGATTCATGTCTGGGGTCTTAAAGTTCTCTTCAAATATGCAGCCATCTAAGTGAGGTGTCATCTTAGGTCCACATGGAAGCACACCAGCTTGTGTGATCCAAGGACTGTAAATAATATAATCCAAATCTGAAGGAGGGTATGGTATCAGAGATTAAATTGTGTACACCCAGTTTGTAAAACACTGGATGAAAGTGGATGCCCTGGATTAAGCCTCTGGTGACTCCCCTCTGACCACAGCCAAGGGATGTCAATAGTCTTGTTATTAGACAGCAGTGTAGATGTAATTAGGTTAAAATGTAATCTCTTGTTTGATCTCCCTTTTGGTCCATTTAAAAATTGTTTGTCTGAAAATAAAACTGAAGGGGAAATGCATGTGGTTTTTGTCTATGCTTTGTACATCTCCCTTCTCCCTAGTAGGACCCTTCTTCCTTTTCTGTGCCTCAACGGGACTTGGGCCAAGTGCAGTTTCCTCTGGGAGGCCTTTCTTTTCCTTAGAGCAGCTTTACTGGCATGTAATCTACATATCATACAATTTAAAGAGCTCAGTCATATCAAGAATTGTACAGTCTTCACCATTATCCATTTTAGAACATTTTCTTTTTTCTTGTTCCATTGTTAGTTGCTCCCCATTTCCTCCTATCCTCCACCACCCTGCCCCCAAGAAACCATTATCCTTTCTATAGATTCACCCATCCTTCATTTCTTATACCGAAAATATACAAAAATAAAGAAACAAAAAAGCTAACAGTAATGAAATAAAATAGAGAAAAATCTCAATCAAAAAGCAGATATTAAAAACTAGAATAGTTTTAAAATTAGTCCAATTAACCTAGTTACTATGCCTTAATCCATTTTCCAATGCCCTTTTAGGATAGGAGGGTTGTTCAAAACCCTGGTGGCTTAGCTGTATTTCAAGGTACAGTAAGTGGCTATCGTGTTGGCTAGAGCAGGTATAGAGTGTTTATATCATTGTAGAACGTCATAATGTGCTGATCTAGATCCTTAAGTATTTCCTATCTATGAAAATGCACTTGAAAGATCTGATGTAAATTAAACAACATAGTTTCACAGAACCTGTCTTTTTTGTAAATTTTAGTTAATATTTTTTTGTTTTTCTTTTTTTAGTTAATATTTTAAAGGAGAAGAAACCAGATGTACTCTATTGTCCTACCTCTATCCTTGTGTTTGTTTGTTTTTTCATCTTCCTGCTTGTCTAATAACTAGCCCTGTGTAGTTGTTACTCTAAGTTTCCCAATCTATGCTATAGAAAAATAAAACTGTAATAAAAATTACTAATGAATTTCATTAGACTAGTTACGTATTCAAACAACCATTGCATTAGTTTGTAAGATCCATGAGCACCCAGACTTTATCATTTCTCTGCTGTGCTAAACCCCCAATACCTAAGCAAGTCAGAGGCCGTGTTGTTCTTGTTGTTGCTGTTAGTTGCCTTTGAATGGGCTCTCTCATGTAGTATGACCCTGCGTACAACAGAGCGAAACACTGCCCAGTCCTGTACCATCCTCAATGTTGTTCTATGTTTGAGTGCACTGATAATTAAACTAATTTTTACTGATTGAAATTTAATCAATTTCAGACTAAAGAAATTGGTAGAATTTTTCAGACCAATTGAAATTTAACCAATGTCAGTCAAAATAAGTTTGTAGAATTCTTCAGTTGCTTCATCAATCGTTTTAGTAGTTAGTGCATAAATTTAAGTAATAGTCATATTTAGTGGTCTTCCTTGTAGATGTATGAGGAGCCCTGGTGCTGTAGTGGTTACACAATGGGGTACGCTCCGTAAGGGCAGCGATTTGAAACCCCCAGTCGCTCTACAGGAGAAAGATGAGGCTTTCTACTCTCCTGAAGAATTAACCGTCTCAGAAACCCACAGGCAGTTCTGCGCCATCCTGTGGGGTTGCTAAAAGTCGGAATTACCTCGATGGCAGTGAATTTGGTTTGGGGTTTTGGGCATATAGGTATTTTCCTGTCACAAGCAGCATTTTACTTCAAGATACATCTTGAAATGTTATTTTTGATGGTGAATACAACACCATTCCTTTATAATTTGTTTTTCTGTTATAGTATATTATATGATTGTATGTTTCAATTGTCAGTGGCAATCCATTTCAGTTTACAAAGACCTAGGATATTGAGCTTTATATGTTTCATTTCATTTTTGACAATTTTCTATATTCATAGTTTATGTGTGTTCTGATTATTAATGGATGTTTACTGCTGCTGCTTCTCATTTTGAGTCATGCCCCCTTAGCAAAGAAAGATCCTAGAAGCTTTGTTCCATTCGTGTCATTAAGGTTGACTCTACGTAAAGAGGTAGTTCTTCCCCAGTCTCAATTTGGTACCTTTCACCATCAGGGGCTCATCTTCAGGCACTGTATCAGACA